GAGGGGGCGGGCGCGGGGCGGGCGCGCTGAGCCGCCGGGTCTCGCCCCCCGCAGGTGCAGCACGCCAGCAAGCAGATCTCCGCCGACAAGCACTACAAGGGCATCATCGACTGCGTGGTGCGCATCCCGCGGGAGCAGGGCGTCCTGTCGTTCTGGCGCGGCAACCTGGCCAATGTGATCCGCTACTTCCCCACCCAGGCCCTCAACTTCGCCTTCAAGGATAAGTACAAGCAGGTCTTCTTGGGCGGCGTGGACAAGCGAACCCAGTTCTGGCGGTACTTTGCTGGTAACCTGGCGTCCGGGGGTGCCGCTGGCGCTACCTCCCTCTGCTTCGTCTACCCCCTTGACTTTGCCCGAACCCGCCTGGCCGCGGACGTGGGTAAAGCCGGGGCTGACCGGGAGTTCAGCGGGCTCGGTGACTGCCTGGTCAAAATCTTCCGGTCGGATGGGCTCAAGGGCCTGTACCTGGGCTTCAATGTCTCTGTCCAGGGCATCATCATCTACAGAGCTGCCTACTTCGGCATCTATGACACTGCAAAGGGTAGGTTGACCCAGGTGGCACTAGAAGCGAGATGCTGAGCTGCAGCAGGCCTGTGGTGCGTCCGGGCAGGGGCTGGTGGCTCACCTGCCCGTCTCACCCAAAAAAAAGGAATGCTTCCAGACCCAAAGAACACCCACATCATTGTCAGCTGGATGATTGCTCAGACCGTCACTGCTGTTGCTGGTTTGGTCTCCTACCCTTTTGACACGGTTCGTCGCCGCATGATGATGCAGTCTGGCCGTAAAGGAGGTGAGTTCCTACCTCCTGGTGTAGGAAGTGTCGGGTATCCCTCAGTCAACTGTTGATGGTGGAGCTATGTAGATATCCTCACCTCTTGTCAGATGTGTGAGAGGGGCTGTAGAAGCAGGAGGCCTGGGCAGGTCAGTCTCTGCAGCATGCCTGTACCATGGCGTGCTCCAGTCAGGTATCTGTCAGTAGGCAGGAATGGCAGAACTTGCCCAAGGATGTTGCAAACTTGTGGCTCTGTGCCAAGAAGAGACATCCTTGATAGCAGGCACATCCTGACTGACTGTGCAATAGCTTTTTGGTCTGGAAGTGTTTGTGTCAAAGCAACCAGTAGCTGCCTTCTCTTCTGCTCTAACCGGTCCCTCCAGTGTCTCCAAGGGGCAGTGCAGCAGCAGCAGGGTATCTCCTGGGCTGCCTCGTCCTCTGGTGTGCTAATACTGGAGAGAGTCAAGAATTGGGATGCGCTTGAGGTTATGAAGCTGACAGATACATCAGGCCATTTCTGACCTGGATGTTGGAGGTCGTGGGCATCCAATTCCTAATGCTGTCTGTCTCCCACAGCTGACATAATGTACACCGGCACTATTGACTGCTGGCGGAAGATTGCCCGGGATGAGGGCTCCAAGGCGTTTTTCAAAGGTGCATGGTCGAATGTACTCCGAGGAATGGGTGGTGCTTTTGTCTTAGTCCTGTATGATGAAATCAAGAAGTACACATAAGTTGTTTTCTGTTGTGAACTGGCATGTTGTTATATGTAGTCTCTGACCGTTAATGGACTTGTTTGAAAACTGTCTAGTTACTAAACAGTGGCAGCTGATGTTTATACAGGTTGGCGTGGGGCAGGGTTGAATGCCTGCCCTGTCTTTATCGAGCTATTCCCCCTGATGGGACCACCATGGTTTCTACTTGAGTCACTCCGGCTTAAAGAGTACAAAGAAATAAAAATTTGAAACCAACTTTCCTCATCTCATGTTTGTTCTTGCAGCAGCTGCAGCATGAGGGGAGTGGGGGTCTCTGCATTGACTGTAGAGGAGGAAGATGAACCACCTCCATCCTGCACAACTCGCTGCCTGCTAACTACCTGTGGCCTCCGGCAGGTAAACACAGTGCAGGCTGCCGAGGAAGCTGTGTAGTGTTTCCTCCC